ATATCATTCGAAATACAGTAAACTACAGTACAGTACTGTATATCCAATAAATTACCTTTAAAAATGGGTGCAGCCATTGAGCAAGTTTTTTTTAAATAATATACAATAAAGGCCCATCAATCTATCACGGTGGAACTAAATTGTCAGTTAATGGACCATGTGGGAGCTGGTATGTTTTGACATTCTGATTTCATTCAATGTGGCTGTCATCCACACAGGCATGTGTTTTACAGCTTCTGCCTTTGCAATAGTGTCTCTGCTATGTGCATGCACAGCTCTTTCTCAATCCAGTCTTCAGATGCCCACCATGTGGCACCACAGCGGCCTGTAGCACCCTGTCATGCATGGTGGTCCTCTATCCAAGCACTATCCAGGCTCAATCCCGCTTTGCTTCTGAGATCCTGGGGACCTAATGACATTGCGTGCATTCCGTTTGCTTTGGTCATGGGTGTCTCAACTATGAACTGCAGCAAATCACAACTCATGACTCACGTGGATTTATGATTGAGTCATCAGCATCACCACAATCACGATCACCATCTAAAAGGGTAGTTTGGTTTTTAAGGCGAATCTTTCAGTGTTCATTGTGTGGATGGAGATGAAAGGCAGCATCCGTCTCACATTTTACTCCCTCATTCACTCGTTTCAACTCTCATGCTTTGCTCTCTACTCCAGCATCTGGACTATCCCTACAATCTGACCCCCTACCTAACTCATTGTCTATCATCTCACGCTTTACTTCGCGTGCTACACACACACTCTCTACCCTCCAGTACCTCTATACTCTCTCGTGCTCTCGTCTGTTCTCTCAACACAGTGATCACTTTAAGTCCACCCAAAGTCACTCTTCTGTCTCTCTCCACTATGAATCTTTATTTATCCTGGAGAAATCCGATGAGCTATGAAGCTCTTTTTCACAGATGTCCTTTCACTTTCTTTCCTCGCTCTCTTTACTCACGCGTGCTCTACTCACGCGTGCTCTGCACACCCTCTATTCTGTTTACTCTCTCTCTCGCCCTCACGTCTGGGGTAAAATTGTCTACTCCTTCAAACTCAACACTCTACTTTTTTACTCTCCTCTCACGCTCTACTCTAACACATTCCTGCAGAGGGAGTTGGTAGGAACGTTGGGCTGCTCGGTCAATGGCCAGGGTCAACGGCACCACGTGGTGTATTCCGCAAATATGCCCGACTGTGAGGGCGGGCACAAGCCGACGTGAGTAGGTTAAACGTTGAGTTTATAAGGGCACCACGGGGTGACCAGCCCCTCCCCACCCAGCCCCACCCCTCCCACCCCCACCCAGCCCCACCCTCCCCACCCAGCCCCTCCCCACCCTCCCCACCCACCCAGCCCCTCCCCACCAAACCCCTCCCCACCCTCCCCTCTCCACCCAGCCCCACCCCTCCCATTTTTGGATGCACGACGGACGGACACAATAATCCCCTGTGGGCTGGTGTAACCAGGAGGTTCCTACCAGTATTATCGTATCCTTGTCTATTCTCTCACGACCTTCTCTCCTCTGTCACTGTACTCGGTAGTCAAGAGCTGTCACTGAGTAGGATTGGGGGGGGGAGCTGTGTACACGTGGAAGAGATGGATGGATGGGGGGGGGCTCGAGACTGACACGGGGAGAGAGAGAATGGAAGAGACAGCGAGACACAAGAACGAGATGCAGAGAGACAAACACAGACACTGAGAGACATAAACAAGACACGGCCAGTGATAAACAAACACACACACACAAAGCACGACAGAGACACGGCGAAGGACACCGTGGCACGGAGGCACAGTGGCGCAAAGAGATACATACACACGGTGAAACAAAGAGGGCGACACAAGAACAGAAGGGACACGGAGGGACACGGAGGGACACAGAGTGAGACCAACACACGCGCGCATAGAAAGCACAGTTACGGGACCTTTTTGGCAGTACCAAAATAATGAACAAAAATTGTTTAAAATATCCCATAGATGTAACTGCTCAACCCGAGTTGTTAATACTGTACTTTGATACTTGCATTGCCTTGGGGTACTGTTTGCCTGTTGGCGTTCTCTGGCCTAACTAACCCTGGTGGTGAGGCATGGCCATAAAAAGGCAGTCTCTGGTGGAAGCCAATCAATTCCAAAGACAATGCATGCATCATGATCAGAGCATGATTGTTTGCATGTTTTGCCACAAGTTTGTGTGGTTAATGCAGACTTGATTACCTTGCAACAAATGATCTATTTGGTGTTAGAACATCTTAAAACTTTTTTATACATGTGTCTAGATTGAAAACGAATTTCTTTAAAACTGCTTTTGGTGTTTCGTTTGTTGCCCTTCCCGCGCACCTCCGATTGGCACGGTCGGTCTACGTGCGGTGCGAGAAAGAAGTTCAACATACACACAGAAAGGCTAAAGCCTATAATAATTATAATTTTTTGCTTCAACAGAAAGCAGAGTCTCCACGTTCTCGACCCTACAGCTCCCTCCCCCTCTCATGCTCCACTCCGACCCCACAGGAGCGACAGCCGTGACCGAGCCAGCATCCATTGCCTCGCAGCGAACACAAAGACAACAAAAGACAAAGACTCCCCCCCTCCTCCTGCCCGGCATATAGCTTTCAAGCGACCGACTGAGTGCTGTTCGCGAGCACCTATTAAGGACAACACCTACACCCCGCCGCCCTCTCTTCTCCCCGGTTGTGATGTTTACGCACCGCACCGGGTACTCGTTCGAGAGGACGGAGTCGATCTCGGGGAGGTCCCCGGACACCGGGTTCGGGAATGTTCGCCACTGGTGGTGAGTGGTGAGCGGCGGTGCGCTAACCATTGCGCCACCGCTCCCCCGCAGAGAGAGGGGGGAGTGATGGCACATCCAGAGTTGGGGTTTGGGTGAGGCCACGTAGGTTAAGGTTCGTCCCAAAAGCCTTTGTCGTGAACCCTCCACCACCTGACGGGATTTTCACGTTAACAGGCAGCGGTAAGTTGTGTTATTATTTATACCGCACGTGCCTAATTGCCAGGTGGTGGAGGGGTTAAATGACACGAATTTTGGACTAAAACAACGGTTGTGGCCTACACCCCCCCCCCCCCCCAAATATCAACGCGCACGGATCACTACGCTTGAAGTTATCTGCGGCACATGTAGAGAGGGCTTTCTCGATCCACTGCTGGACGACACCACCCGCGTATTGGCACGACACACAGTTACACACAGTGCAGGTATCTTTCTTTGCAGGGTATTTTCGGACCTGCAAGAGCATGCGTTGGACTTCTTTCGCACCGTACGTAGCCAACCGTGCCGATCGGAGGGGCGTGTGTGCATTCAAGGCACATCATTCGGCGCGTGTCGCGTACGCGTCGTTCTTTGGCCGTTCACCAAGTGCAGCATGCAGCGCTGCATCGTCCCGGTGAATAATTTAGTGCGTAATTATAACTGTAATACCACCTCCGTGCACGCGTCGCTGAATAACCCCAAAAAAGTGCTTGTGGTGCAATGTACGGAGGAGACGGGTTGACTCGGCCTCCTCAAATGAGTGCCCGGCGGAGCGGTGCTGGCCACCCACTCCCTCGTGTGCCGAGTCGTCCTTCGTGGGTGCTACTCGCTAACAGCACTTGCCCCCAGTCTTGTCACAGGCTACACGGGGGGGGGGGGGGGGTGGGGATCTTTATCTTTGGAGGAGACAGCACACCTACGGAATGGCAGTGTACTGACTTGCACACCTTGGCATACCTCCTCACTACTACAAAATTACTTGGGGTTTTCTTTTGTATGGGGTTAGGGGCCGTCCATAAATGGCGTCACGCGATTTTGGACGATTTTTGACTCCCCCCCCCTCTTCGCCACACGGCGTCACAAAAAGTCAGCCCCCCCCCTCAAATATGACGTCACAAAGCTCTGCCCCCCCCACCAAAAAATATAAAAAAACATACTTCAAATCTCTTTAAACTAATGTCATTGTAGTGCGTATTTAATGTGGCGCTGCACTCTGATGTTGTAGGAGAAAACATTTATTACAAAGTCTATTTAATTAAGTAGAACGTGCTGTCTATATTTATTTATAAAGTTGCGCATTTTGATGTGACGTCACATTTCTCAAACTCCCCGCACCCTCGTCACACATCGTCACAAATGTCTGACCCCTCCCCCCCCCTAGGTGCGTGACGTCATTTATGGACGGCCCCTTAGATCGCGTAAATATAAATGTGTCGTTAAACCAACCACCACCCGACACAGTCAATGTAGTCAAGGTTTGCCACGTAAACAGCACGTGGCCAATTCGTCACTGGTACAGCACACCCGGTGTGTTGGGAGAGCAAATCCACAACATTCACAATCATGAGTACGACGTTTCGCCGGTAATTACAACTAGCTTCATCAGGCGGACAGCCAGAAAACCCTGTATTATTATATTATGGATGATATTGGTCGCGAAAGTCTACGTGTTAAAAAAAAAAGACTCCCCACTACTGTCTGCCCCTTGCCAGCATACACAACCACCGTCTTCGCCTGTTACACTCTGCCCCACCACCACACACATACCCTGGTGATCTTCTACCCTACACAAACCTCTCACCCAAACCCCTGAAACAACAATGCACCATATATAACACACACACACACACACCTGATAAAAGTACATCCCTTAGGTATCTCACTTACCCCAAGTGCCCTCCACCTGACAGAGAGCCGATAGCCCCAGTGCGTGCCCCCTCCACCTGACGAACCTACCTTATGTTAGTTATACAGTACTTCCACGTGCCTTCACATCCCAACTAACAAATCCTAACTTTGATGCCCCCCATCCCTCCGAGACACAGTTTAACCTACGAGTGAGTCCCACCGACCTGATAAAGCTTTCACCCTCGATGCCGCCGCGGTTAGCACGACCCCATGTGTGTGTCCTCTGCTACACCACCACCACCAACCAAATCGATAAAGCTCTTCGCTGGCTTTATCAGCTGGTGCCCTGCACCACCACCACCCCCCAATCCACTTCGAGGTCTCATCTCTCACCTTGTCCAAGCAGCTGAGCTTCTCGATGGGGTAGACCGTCTTGTTGCAGCGGGCACACGGAGGGTTCATGGTCGACGCTTTGTTGGGGGTTGCGAGCAACAACAACAACAGCAGCAGCAACAACACTCCGTAGATCTGCGTGCAGAGAGAGAGAGGTTAGAGCGATAAATCTTTTGTTAAATCTTTCATTAAAAAATTGGGGGGAGGGGGGGGTTACATAAAGCAAAGTGTTAAAAAATCGAAATGATGAACGAAGCAAAGTGCCGACTACACCGAGCATCGTCTTGTCGTCTACAGCTGGGCTACACCGCTACAGGCGTGCTGCGTGCGTGTCAAACAGCCCTGGTGTGTGTGGATCGCTATGGCCGCGTGTGGTGTGTGTGTGTTTGTTGTGTGTGTGGTGTGTTGTGTGTGTGTGGTGTGTGTGTGTGTGGTGTGTGTGGTGTGTGTGGTGTGTGTGTGTGTGGATCGCTATGGCCGCGTGTGGTGTGTGTGTTTGTTGTGTGTGTGGTGTGTGGTGTTGTGTGTGTTGTGTGGTGTTGTGTGTGTGTGTTGTGTGTGTTGTGTGTGTGTTGTGTGTGTTGTGTGGTGTTGTGTGTGTGTGTGTTGTGTGTGGTGTGTGTTGTGTGTGTGTTGTGTGTATTGCTATGGCCGCGTGTGTTGTGTTATTGTTGTGTGTGTGGTGTGTGGTGTGTGTTGAGTGTGTGTGTTGTGTGTGTGTTGTGTGGTTTGTGTGTTGTGTGTGTTGTGTGTGTGTTGTGCGTGTGCTGTGTGTGTGTTTGTTGTGTGTGGTGTGTGTTGTGTGTATTGCTATGGCCGCGTGTGGTGTGTGTGTTGTGTGTGGTGTGTGTGTTGTGTGGTGTGTGTGTTGTGTGTGTTGTGTGGTGTGTGTTGTGTGGTGTGTTGTGTGGTGTGTGTGTTGTGTGTATTGCTATGGCCGCGTGTGTTGTGTTATTGTTGTGTGTGGTGTGTGTTGTGTGTTGAGTGTGTGTGTTGTATGTGTGTGTTGTGTGGTGTGTGTTGTGTGTGTGGTGTGTATGTTGTGTGTGTGGTGTGTGTATTGTGTGTGTGTGGTGTGTGTTGTGTGTGTGTGGTGTGTGTGTTGTGTGTGTGGTGTGTGTGTTGTGTTTTTTGCGTGTGTATAGTGTGTGTGTGGTGTGTGTATAGTGTGTGTGTGTTGTGTGTATATAGTGTGTGTGGTGTGTGTATAGTGTGTGTGTGTTGTGTGTATATAGTGTGTGTGGTGTGTGTATAGTGTGTGTGTGGTGTGTATAGTGTGTGTGTTGTGTGTGTATAGTGTGTGTTGTGTGTGTTGTGTGTGTTGTGTGTGTGTATTGTGTGTGTGGTGTGTGTATAGTGTGTGTGTTGTGTGTGTATAGTGTGTGTGGTGTGTGTGTGTTGTGTGTGTTGTGTGTGTGTATTGTGTGTGTGGTGTGTGTATAGTGTGTGTGGTGTGTGTATAGTGTGTGTGGTGTGTGTGTGTTGTGTGTGTATAGTGTGTGTTGTGTGTGTGGTGTGTGTGTGTATAGTGTGTGTGGTGTGTGTGTGTTGTGTGTGTATAGTGTGTGTGTAGTGTGTGTGTAGTGTGTGTGTGTTGTGTGTGTGGTGTGTGTATAGTGTGTGTGTGGTGTGTGTATAGTGTGTGTGTTGTGTGTATATAGTGTGTATATAGTGTGTGTGTGTAGTGTGTGTGTAGTGTGTGTATAGTGTGTGTATAGTGTGTGTGTGGTGTGTGTGTGTGGTGTGTGTGTGTGGTGTGTGTATAGTGTGTGTGTGTGTTGTGTGTGTAGTGTGTGTGTGGTGTGTGTGTGTATAGTGTGTGTGTGGTGTGTGTGGTGTGTGTGTATAGTGTGTGTATAGTGTGTGTATAGTGTGTGTGTGTTGTGTGTGTGTGTGTTGTGTGTATTGTGTGTGTGTAGTGTGTGTGTGGTGTGTGTGTGTGTTGTGTGTGTGTGTTGTGTGTGTGTGTTGTGTGTGTTGTGTGTATAGTGTGTGTGTATAGTGTGTGTGTATAGTGTGTGTGTGGTGTGTGTGTGTTGTGTGTGTGTGGTGTGTGTGTGTTGTGTGTGTAGTGTGTGTGTGGTGTGTGTAGTGTGTGTGGTGTGTGTAGTGTGTGTGTTGTGTGTGTGTGGTGTGTGTGTGTTGTGTGTGTGTGTAGTGTGTGTGTATTGTGTGTGTGTGTTGTGTGTATTGTGTGTGTAGTGTGTGTATTGTGTGTGGTGTGTGTGTTGTGTGTGTGTGTGGTGTGTGTTGTGTGTGTGTGGTGTGTGTGTGTTGTGTGTGTATATAGTGTGTGTTGTGTGTTGTGTAGTGTGTGTGTGTGTTGTGTGTGTTGTGTGTGTGTGTTGTGTGTATATAGTGTGTATATAGTGTGTGTGTAGTGTGTGTGGTGTGTGTGTTGTGTGTGTGTGGTGTGTGTGTTGTGTGTGTGTGTGTATAGTGTGTGTGGTGGTGTGTGTATAGTGTGTAGTGTGTGTGTTGTGTGTGTGGTGTGTGTGTATAGTGTGTGTGTTGTGTGTATATAGTGTGTGTATTGTGTGTGTGTGTGTAGTGTGTGTTGTGTGTGTGTTGTGTGTGTGTTGTGTGTGTGTATAGTGTGTGTATAGTGTGTGTGTTGTGTGTATATAGTGTGTGTGTAGTGTGTGTGTGTGTAGTGTGTGTTGTGTGTGTGTAGTGTGTATAGTGTGTGTTGTGTGTGTGTGTGGTGTGTGTGTTGTGTGTGTGGTGTGTGTGTTGTGTGTGTCGCTCTAGGCGAGTGCTGCGTGTGCCAAAGCGTGGCCCGTGTCGTGAGGTTGTCGATGTTGTACATAACTCGAGTTAAACAGTACGTGTCGTATAACATGTACACACGTGTGTGTGTGTACAACTATAGCCTTATATAACATGTACACACGTGTGTGTGTGTACAACTATAGCCTTATATAACATGTACACGTGTGTGTGTACAACTACAGCCCTATATAACATGTACACACGTGTGTGTGTGTATAACTACATCCTTATATAACATGTACACACGTGTGTGTGTGTATAACTACATCCTTATATAACATGTACACGTGTGTGTGTACAACTACCGCATTATATAACATGTACACGTGTGTGTGTACAACTACAGCCCTATATAACATGTACACACGTGTGTGTGTACAACTACCGCATTATATAACATGTACACGTGAGTGTGTGTACAACTACAGCCCTATATAACATGTACACGTGTGTGTGTATAACTACAGCCCTATATAACATGTACACGTGTGTGTGTACAACTACAGCCCTATATAACATGTACACACGTGTGTGTACAACTACCGCCCTATATAACATGTACACGTGTGTGTGTACAACTACAGCCTTATATAACATGTACATGTGTGTGTATAACTACAGCCCTATATAACATGTACACGTGTGTGTGTACAACTACAGCCCTATATAACATGTACATGTGTGTGTATAACTACAGCCCTATATAACATATACACGTGTGTGTGTGTAACTACAGCCCTATATAACATGTACACACGTGTGTGTACAACTACCGCATTATATAACATGTACACGTGTGTGTGTACAACTACAGCCCTATATAACATATACACGTGTGTGTGTGTATAACTACAGCCCTATACAACATGCACACGTGTGTGTATAACTACAGCCCTATATAACATGTACACGTGTGTGTATAACTACAGCCCTATATAACATGTACATGTGTGTGTATAACTACAGCCCTATATAACATGTACACGTGTGTGTACAACTACAGCCGTATACAACATGCACACGTGTGTGTATAACTACAGCCCTATATAACATGTACACGTGTGTGTACAACTACAGCCCTATATAACATGTACACGTGTGTGTGTGTACAACTACAGCCTTATATAACATGTACACGTGTGTGTATAACTACAGCCCTATATAACATGTACACGTGTGTGTGTACAACTACAGCCCTATATAACATGTACACGTGTGTGTATAACTACAGCCCTATATAACATGTACACGTGTGTGTGTACAACTACAGCCGTATACAACATGTACACGTGTGTGTGTACAACTACAGCCCTATATAACATGTACACGTGTGTGTGTGTACAACTACAGCCCTATATAACATGTACACTTGTGTGTGTGTCGATGATTGTGTGTCTATGATTGTGTCCATGATTGTGTGTGCATCTATGATTGTGTGTGTCTATGATTATGTGTCTATGATTGTGTGTCTATGATTGTGTGTCCATGATTGTGTATATGATTGTGTATATGATTGTGTGTCTGTTTATGATTGTGTCTATGAGTGTCTATGATTGTTTGTCTATGATTGTGTGTGTCTATGATTGTGTGTGTCCATGATTGTGTCCATGATTGTGTGTCTATGATTGTGTGTGTGTCTATGATTGTGTCTGTATGATTGTGTGTCTATGATTGTGTGTGTCTATGATTGTGTGTGTCTATGATTGTGTTTGTGTCTATGATTGTGTTTGTGTCTATGATTGTGTTTGTCCATGATTGTGTGCCCATGATTGTGTGTCTATGATTGTGTGTGTGTCTATGATTGTGTCTATGATTGTGTGTCTGATGGTGTTTGTGTCTATGATTGTGTGTCCATGATTGTGTCAATGATTGTGTCCATGATTGTGTCTATGATTGTGTGTGTCTATGATTGTGTGTGTCTGATTGTGTTTGTGTCTATGAGTGCGTGTCCATTATTGTGTGTGTCCATGATTGTGTGTGTCCATGATTGTGTGTGTGTCTATGATTGTGTGGTGAACGCCTTACCCCTTTTTCCCGAGAAGATCCCGGTTCGTCCTCCGACTGTAGCTCGCTGTAACGTTGGAAGCGTGTGGACGTGTGTGTTGATCGTCTCTGTGTGTGTGTTGATCGTGTGTGTTGATCGTCTCTCTGTGTGTGTTGATCGTCTCTCTCTCTGTTTCTAATTGCAGACACTCAAAAAGTCTCTCTCTCTGTGTGTTGCTCGTCTCTCGGCAGTCTCTCTTATTGTAGATACTCAAAAAGTATCTCTGTGTGTTGATCGTCTCGCTCTCTCTCTGTATCTTCTTGTAGACACTCAAAAAGTATCTCTCTCTGCGTGTGTGTCTCTGATTGTAGACACTCAAAAAGTCTCTCCTCTCACCCCCGTGTGTCTCTGTCTCTGCTGTGTGGGGCCCGTGCAACGGAGATCGGCGCAGGAAGTGGCGACACCTCCGACTCCACCCGCTCGGGCGTGGAGGAGGAGGAGGAGTGGATGATGATGATGGCTCCGAGTGCACCTAGCCTGGCACCGGGGCACGCGTCGCGACAACTTCGCGGCGGCTGGACTTAATAACGTGCCGCTGCCACTGCTGCTGCTGCAATTGTTCAATCCGTCAGCTTTGTGGAGGGGGGGGAGGTTTAGTTTTGTTTATGACCGCGATAAGTTGCGTGCGTCATCTCACGGCGGTGGTAGTGTTGGCCTTCTCAAGGCGTGAATCTCCACTGCTGCCGTGCTGTTGTTGTTGTTTGATGATGATGATGATGTTGTTGTGTGGCCAATGTAGTAGCAATGCACCGCACCGTCTCCTCTCTCCAGCCCTGTTGTTGTTGTTGTTATTCTCAGGCCGCCATTAGTCAATCTCACGCCCTCCTTTGGCCAAACGCTCGCATTGACCCAAACCGCTCGATGCTGAACCGGTGTGAATTGAAGGGAAGGGCATTTTTATACTGGTAGGAACGAAGTTGTAAACTGAGTGTACCAGCCTGCAATAGATTAATGTGTCCGTCCGTCCGTCCCCTTTCAAAAGCCCCATACTACCGTATACCGGGAAACAATTCCTCATTTTAAAATGCAATTGTTGTCATTTTCGCCCCAGCCCTTAACGATTTTATGATACATTGCTCAAAAATGAGCAGATTTCAGTCAATAAGGATTTCACCATTCCATTCCTCTACAGAGGTTAATTTGTCCGAAGAACCCTCAACGATTTTGAGGGCAAAAAGGTGGGAAGACGCTCTCAATTTGCACAATTTTACGTAACAATGTCATAAAATTGCGCAAAATTCCAATGTTCCTACCAGCCCACCCTGCAGGGACCTGTTATTTAAAAAAACACATGTTCTGGAAGGGATAGAGAAGGGGGGGGGGGCGGCTGCCGATACATTTGGGCTGAAATATATCTAAGACTTCTGATTCTAAGTGTCCCGAAACCAACAATATGCGATGTTGCCCCCAGCCCAAAAAAATTATTATGGTGCAGTTGCACTCATTGGCCGCAGTCTGCCGAAACCTCTGGTTTGTTTTCATTCTCGTGATGAGTTTGTGAAAATACAATCACCATCAGTGAACCAAGTGATTTGCCACCCGTGGTACGATCAAATCAGTCTTCCATGACCGCCAAAGCAGTGCTAGCATGCCTCCATTCGGCAGAGGATTGTCAAAGGGTAGCAAAATAATATCTCACGTTAAATGGCAAGTTAGTGACCGGCTTAAACGACCATTGTTTACACAATGGGTAAACAACCCTATGTATGAGTAGTATATACAGTACTTCACGTGTGTATAAGTGCTCCAACACGAACCAATGCTACGTTCAATATACCACATTGATAATGGTGGACATCATATGGGAAGTCATGCAGAGATGGTCAAAACCAAAGATAATAATAATGTTAATCCCATTGAAAGCCTCTCCACGCCGTGTCGATCATGGAGTTATTTGACCATTCTTCACCACTCTGGTCCATGCGGGTTGGTGAAAGGAAAGTGGAGTGCCCTAGATTTTTGTTCTGATGTCAAATTGCCACTGGGAGCTGGTCTTTAACGGCCATTCAAATCTTTCCCAACGTGAGCATTTTCTGAGGTTGAACGCTGCATGAAATCTCCTTGCCTTATAAGTCTTGCAGAAATGCGGTATTCAATCACAAACTCCATGCATACTACAGGAGATACATTTAAAAAAATCATCTTGCGAACGCTTATGCACTGTTTAACATTGTAGTTGTACAATATATTGCACTAATTAAGTCGAGCAGTGACAGGCATTACATGTTTGTAAATTCCAGGAAATTCCATTTGCTGGAATGTACAACTACAGTATTTCCTTCAATGCTAGCTGTATAGCTGATGTGTGAATGTGCGTGCATGCCTTGCCAATACTGTACCCCTTTGTGGGGAAACGTAAATTCAGAATTCATTGGTAATAATCACGATAAAATATAATCATTTCCAGCCCTCTGTCAATTCACTTTTGGTTGAAGTCCTCCCCACACCGTAGCACTCATTGGGGGAGGGTTGTGAACATACTTCACCACAATGATCACACAGTACTGCAGTAATACCCAAATGTACGCCATCCCCCTTTTACGGTGTTTCGCAAATACGCCGTCACTTTATTAACGCCGCTACCCGATATGCGTCGCCTCAACCCACACTTACGTCGCTGACAGCATTGCCCGTCCTCTCTCGTATCCGTCGCCTCCACGTACATTGCTTTGAATTTGATATTCGTCGTGTCACCTTTCAGGAACACATGCCCGACGTAAACCGGGGTATTACTGCAATCGAGGAGTACGCTGCTGTATTGTACGTATGCCATGTTGTCATAGGTGGCTGTGCGGTAGCGGGCAGCAGAGGGCAGAATAGCAAAAATTGCATTGTTCTACAATTCTATGCTCCAACATTTATGTTGCACACTTTTACGAACCCCGGTCCGATTCTATTTAAACCATTACCCATTTGTACATAATTACACCAGTAACGGACTATTATCATTCCCCATAATCAATCCACCGCTTGATTACCATAATGTAGTCATTTAGAACATTGTTTACACTTAAAATGCTGTCATTTTGGCCAAATTGATATGTTTAAGACATTAGCCATGACGTGTCATAATTTTCTGTTCTTTGAGATTTAAACCATTTTACTTTATTTTAAACGAAGGGTTGAGGCAATATTGGTTGAACTTCTCCACCTTATCTTGTTTCATGTGCAAATGTTTGTTTCTTTAGGTGCGTTACAGCTCGCTCTCTTCCAGCAAGCAAGGCCTTATAACATAAACTCTTAACCTTCGTCCAATGGGAGGCGGTTCATTCTCTACTATTGTCCCTCCTTCCAGCCATCTGTACTGCAAATCCAGCTTCTCCTCTGGCTGTTACTGACTCATTATGAAGTGTCTTCAACCACACACGTTACTTTAAACATATATAACTCCCTTTTTGAAAGTCTCTGTAAAGTCCCAGTCTGCGTTGTTTAGTATCTGGAGATGTGGTTGGATTTAGACACCACTGCATTTATATGTGAATCGTTGTTATTTGTATTGCAAATAAATCGTGTTTTTATGGCCTTTCGTGAATGCTTTGAATAACATCGGTTGACCTAGAACGGGTTATTTTGTTCAGAGAAAATGACAATAGTGTATCATAATCCATGCCAATTTTAGCAAAGAATGAATGAGCTCCCAGTATCAGGAATCCAAACTATTACAACAACAAAAAGGCGATTCTTTAAACAAGTCTCAAAACGATACAGTTATATCCAGGGCTTAACTTTTGCTTGCTATTTATGGGTCGGCGATCTGAAATATATATACGTTGTGCCTGGAACACCACATCGAGTGTACCTCTCGCTATGGCTGTGGCTAATAGTCACATCCTTAGGGTGCTGCCGTGGCAAGATGTTATCTCCGTCGCCTGTTATGCAGGATGGTCGCGGGTTCGATCCTGACCCTAACGGCTGTATATTTGGAGTTTGCATGTTCTCCTTCATTGAGCTACCATTTGTGTTCAGATCGCTTCTGAAAACGAGCTATATAGCTCAGTGGGCCTTAACTCGTAAAATAAAAAAAAAATACCTTTGCTGAGTTTTACCCCAACTTACCACTGACCCAGTAAATATTCTGTGAGAATCTAAGCCCTGCTTATGTATTTTAAATATTCAAGGCAAGGAACTTATTTTTAAGATAAAATGATGTGATACATAACACAATAATAATATAATCGTTGTGAATATAAGTAGCAATACATTATGTTGCCCAGGTGGGGCCAACATTTGAAAGTTTGAGGCTATTCACTGAGAGCAGGGCTAGTGGTTGTGTGGGGCATTACGGAGGGAGGGGCTGCCAACAAGCCACGTGTCACGGTTGAGTCTGCCAGAAATGCCATAGCCTTAAGCCAGTCCCAGTATGACTTTCGTGCGCGTCCCTGCTTTGCTCCTCTAACGGCAATCACAGGGAGAATAAAATGGTCCGGCCGCCAGGCGGCGCTGTCAACAGTGAGAGCACCGAGTGTGGAGTGAGGATCACTGATAAGGTTACTATAAATCTAGCCGGGTTGTGGCTTTTACCACATTATCCTCGGCTGCCCACAACATAGCCTCCTCACATTTGGTTCAAGAAAAACAGACTCAAATGTGACCTTCCTGCTTTGCTTCACTCTGGCTGCTTGTTAGAGTGTCCACGATAACTATGAAGTGTACATCACAAACAGAACATCACACGTGTTGTAGTTTATGTGTGTGGCCGACTGCATAACAACCCCTCGGTATTCACGATTGTGGTGTATATCTCTCTAATGGCGTTTTCCCACATCGTGGTACTTGGAACGAAACGTCAAACATCATGGCGAACAATACGTGATACAACGCGCACACACACCAGGAGCCATTACTGCCCAAAATTATGCCGAAAATGCGAAGGAAAAAGGGAACAAAGATGAAAAGTTCCAATAGGATCACGGAGAGATGCATGCATGGAAGCACATTGAGAGACAGATGAGCATTATACAAATCTAAATTGAAAATTCATTTCTTTGAAACTGCTTTTTGTGTATAGTTTGTTGCCCTTCTCCAGCACCTCCGATTAGCACGGTTGGCTAGGTACGGTGCGAAAGAAGTTCAGCATACATTACATATATATAAATTCTAAAACATAAGCAGGTTAATGGCATAATTTAAAGTGTTAAGAAAAGTGGGCTTGGGCAGGACATATCGTAAAAGGGATAATGGCCGATGGTTGAAACTAATGACAGAGTGGCAGTCGAGGGAGGGAACACATCCAGGAGGATTTGGAGCAATGAAGTCGACTTGTTTGAAGGTGCTCGGATTTTAGAAAGGTGGGATCATGAGTTATGGAGGTGGCTTTCATTCAGCAGTGGATTGACTATGGCTGCTGCTGATGATGGAAACGTGCCAGGCTCTGGCCATGATTCACACTAACTGGGGCATGACAAACGCGTGCTGTTTAAAAACTCACAATGATAACACCCAAAACCGCTACAGCAGCCATGAAACTATTTTAGGGAGTGGCCTTTGATGAGGTGGCAGGGGGTGGAGGGGGCAGGAGGGTGGAGGGGGCAGAAGGGTGGAGGGGGCAGGAGAGTGGAGGAGGCAGGAGGGTGGAGGGAGCAGCAGGGTGGAGGGGGCAGCAGGGTGGAGGGAGCAGCAGGGTGGAGGGAGCAGCAGGGTGGAGGGGGCAGGAGAGTGGAGGGGGCTGTGGCTGAAAGAGCAATTTTCATAAATCAAAAATCGCAGAAGCAACCTCCTTTCGATACGTATTTGGATTATGAGAACTCTATCATGATTCTCATAATCCAACTTCCTTTATTTTATAAAATGCAAAAAATACCATGTGGGTGTGAAGGAAGTTGAACAAAAAACATAAAAAAACCGAGAAGTATGCTGTTTACATCGTTTGGATTATGAGAAAT